AAAAAAAAAACCAAGAAAAACAAAAGAAAAGAAAAAAAAGCTCCTTGACAGCTGACTCCCTCTGTTGACAAAACTCTCAAGAGTCTCAACAAAGAATCTATTATTTTCTTAGCGGTAGCCCTAACTTTATAGCGTGCGTCTGATGCGATGCGGATTCAAAGTTCAAACTCATGTTCTGTTGGCTAACAGGTACATGTGTGCGCCATTCACTTACATGGGCTGGGCTACCGTCTTCACCCGAATAGAACGCCCAGTCATTATAGATGTATGTGCACTTTAAATTGTACCAGATACAGCTATAATGACCAGGTGTTCTATTCGGGTGAAGAGCATCGGTATCTCCAGGGTTTTAGGGAAAAAAAGTACCAGTCCACTTCGTAGACTCAAATCATGCTGAAAGCTGGAATTGGGCAGAGAACCTCTCTCTCTCTCTCTCTCTCTCTCTCTCTCTCTCTCTCTCTCTTACATGCACGCACAGACACTCACACACATGAGCTTTAAAAACAAGAAAGGAAAAAGCATAGGCCGGCTGGCGTTTTTTTTCAATCATGAATGAATTTCACCGGGCACAGGCAGGCGCGTATATCCACAAAGCGGCCAGCAGGTCAGCCGGCGTATGTTGCTAGCGGACTGGTGCTCTAGGAGAGGGAGGTTAGGATTGACAGTTCTAGGAGAGGGAAATGGGCCAAAATGGCTAACCGTCCACAACAAGAATAGAGGCTCCCAACCAACGGGACTAGTTCAGTTGGTACACCCATGAACTGTTGAAATACAGACCCGAGTTCGAACCCATATACTTTCAGATGACCAGAACAAGGTCATTCTGAATTACCTGGGGGCGGTCAGTTCAATGATCTCAAGGGCGTCACACTTTCGAAAAACAGAAAAAGAAAAAGAAAGAAGAATAAAGGCCCCCTCCCATAATCTCTCTCTCTCTCTCTCTCTCTCTCTCTCTCTCTCTCTCTCTCTCTCTCTCTCTCTCTCTCTCTCTCTCTCTCTCTGTCTCTCTCTGTGTACGGTGTTTTGTAGTGAAGAAGATACATATAACGGAGTAGGTGATAAAAGGTAGAACAGTGAGCAGTGGTGCAAGTGTGTAGAAAGGGCAGGGGGCAGGGCTGGATAAGGGGGGGGGGAGGAGGGAAAATTTTCGAAATGTCCCTCCGACTTCCATTCGTTTGCGGTATGCCCCTCCAATGGCCGACTTACCCTGCCGTGCCCCTGGGGCCTCTGAAGTTTCCTGCATGCCCCTGTCAGTGAGGGGTGCAACTTTCCAGCATGCCCCTGTGGAAGCTGGTGGCACTGGAGGCTGTTCCCCTCGCCCTGGGAGGGGAGCTACCGGGGCATACTGTAAATTTGGAACCGGTACGGGTAGGGGCATATTGAACATATTTCAGGCCCAAACGACACCAGGGATTGTTCGGAAACTTCAATTGTTTCAGAGGGGCGCGACGGGGTACGTTGGCCGTCGGAGGGGCATACCTCAAATACACAGAAGTCAGAGGGGCATTTCAAAAACTTTCCCCAAAACAAAAAGTCGCCAGTCTGACATCGCAAGACTCTGACATGGCAACAGTCTGACAGGGACTGTGATGACTGCAATATCTGACGTGTTCGTCTGGACTGCATGCGCAACCACGTGATGACACTGAGTAACAATTGATATCACGCGTGTGGACACATCATGCCTGTGGCCACCAAGCTGAAATGATTGATACCCTGTCAAAGTTCGAAAATATCACACGGATTTACACGCCTCCCGCACATCATCCCCCTGTATTCAAAGGATTCCTGGGGTGAGGAAAGGGAACTCGAAAACGGGGGAGAAGAGTTGAGTGGGTTGGTGAGGTGGGTGGGTGGTACATGGACATATTCTAGTCATCGTGCAGTGCATGGAGCAGATGGTCAGAGGCGCCGTTGCTTCATCACGACTCCATAACTCAATCTGTCATGTGCTTTCTCTCCTCAACTGACCTATCCTTCTCCTCCTCCCCCCCCCCCCCCCCCCCCCCCCCCCCCCCCCCCCCCCCCCCCCCCCCCCCCCCTTTTCTTAGACATCACACTCTAAGCTGGCCACCATGGACCACTAGAGACCCAAAGTATGAAAAGGGGTGTTGCTGTTCCGGCAAAGGACAACCCTTTTCTTAGAGATCACAGTCTAAGCTGGACAGAAAATTAGCAAATCAAAGGATTTGCTACAGATAGCAGAACTCGTACCAAAAAAGGATGGCAATAGAGAAAATTTCATGCCATACACATGCAAGGATTGAAGGATGAGACATTAAAAAAGAAGAAGAAGAAAAAAGGAGAAAATAAACATACCTTTGCGAGGCACACTCGGGCCCGTGGCGCAAGATCCCGGTGCCTTGTTGCAAGCTTAGCTATGGAACCGATCACGATGCATAGAAGGCGTGCACGCTTATGGCGACTTGGTCCTTTTATGGCGTCTCTCGGAACACCTCGGGCCAATGCTGTGCTGTGGGGGCCGGAGAGAGAGGGGGGTCAACCGCCACACAAGAATGGATTTTAGTTAAAAAAAAAAGGGGGGCTTCACATAAATTGTAATGAGCCCAATGAATCACAAACAGCATCCATGTCATGCGAATTCACACCAAGCTCATGAGATGAAAGTTCATGAAACAACACCTGAGATATGAGAACTTTGAAGACATCTGGAATCAAAGTCTTATACAACAGGATACATGTATGTACACTTGCGGTTATCGCCGCTGCTCAACGACAACAACAAGATAATACTCTCTCTCTCTCTCATGCTATGTCCTATCCTCCCTCTCCCTCTCTCTCTCTCTCATGCTATGTCCTACCCTCCCTCTCCCTCTCTCTCTCA